AAATTTTAAAAAATTTTTTTTTTACTATGAGGGGGGGGGGGTAATGTAAAACACATAATCAACTTGGTCTGGCCTTACTATATCGATATCGTATTGCTATTACTCTATTCTGTTGTCATAACAATTTGTATTTTTGCAAATTTCTATTAACATATCGAAAAACTCCTTTGTCACCTTATTTCAACAAAAAAAATAAAACATTTCAACTAATAATAAGTGAAAAAAAAAATTAACGGATTTATATATTTGATTTATCATAATAAAATATGTTTTTTTTTAAAAAAAAAAAAAACTATTCAATATTCAATACATATTTGTATATAGTTGGTTGACTTTATATAACAAGCCTTTATAACGAAGGCAACAATTTCAAAATTTATAATAATTTGGTATAAAAAGCATTATGAGCTCTTATTAAAACATAGTAATTTTATAAGGCGAATTTATTTTTCCAGAATCTACAGTTTTATATAAAAATAAAATAAATAATGATAGAGTTATTTGAACAATACAAATAATGAATATTTAGCAGATAAACTTACTGTAGTTTTTAATGTGTTTATAAAGTTTTTTTTCTATTTTGTAACATAAATATGTAAACTTCAGCGAACTTTATTTTATTATTATTATTTTTTATAAACGTAAAGTATATTATTATACTAAGGTTCTTTGAATTATAACAAGTTTTACCAATTACGTTGAAAATCCCAAGTTATTCATTTTCAATCGATAAAAATACCTACGTTACTAAATAATAATTTAGTAAGTTTATAATTGTACTTTACAATAATCGAAAGCCACATCGACTACAATTATAAGTACGTATGTATTACAGGAATATTGTCCAGAATATGATATATGACTAATTTTTTCTAGGCGACATTGTAAGCTTATAAGTATGGTCATTATACTTTTAAATATGGTCATCATAAAGTATAGTCATCATAAAGTATAGTCATCTTCATACTTATAAGTTTGATGTGTCTGATAATTAAATATACGTAAAAGGATATAAGTTATACTGCGCTACTATTTTTATTTTTCCTACTATATACCATAAATTTATGACGCATATATTTAATGTGAGTTAAATTATTTGACCATAATTGGCCATGATACAGTATTTTGTCAATGTGTGTATATTAAGCGTTAAGAGATATAACAACAGATCAATTTTAAAATAAATTTTACAGTGATAGAAGATGGGTTACTGTAAGATGGAGAGATGACCATTTGGGGTCCATTTTAGTATATGCATCATGTGGTTGACACGTAATCATTAATAATAATTCAATTTAGGCCCAATTCCAAAAAGTCGCAGCAATGTTCAATATGTATCGATGCCAATATATGAGTGTCGCTAAAAGAAAACCCGAAAATTTAAATATAAGTCATAGTTAAAATTTTCGGGTTTTCTTTTAGCGACACTACACTCATATTATGCATAACCAAATGAAATTAATGGGATTGTCCAACATTGTTTGAATTTGATTATTGAGCCAATGCGGTTCGTGCATGGCGCTCCTGCATGATATTTCGTACGTACGTACGTACGTACGTTGTTATGCCAGAAATGAAAATTTATAAAATTTCAATATTTCCATTTAGTATTTTCATTTTCTTTTGGGGTAGTTGTACAACCGGTCGGTAAGCCACATTAGTTACTGACTATTACTATTACAATCAGAAAAGTCAGAAAAAGTCACTAACTAACGGAAAGAGTCAGTGACTATCGGGAAGAGTCTCGAACTAACAACGCAAAAAAATCCTATCCCTTTAATGTTTCTTATAATAATTTACTTAAAAAATGCTAACAGTTAATAAATAAGCATTAGTTATAGTTCTCTTATCTGACGTAACTATCGGTGGATTAGTTACATAAATTATCTATTTATATCCACCTGGTACGAGTTACAACGTACGTACGTAATCTTTATACACAAGTTCATCCTTAAACAATCCTGTATACATATTATAAAAGAATGCAACTATATGGGCTCACTTTCACTGAAGGAGGTTATCCAAAGTCTGTTCTTTTGCGAAATGTTTCTGTTGAGGCGGACAGTAAAGTTTCTTTTTATACATATACAATTTACTGCATATAATATATGTTTCTTTTATGTCGCTAATGTTCTTTTTAAATTTTAATTAGTCGTTGATATGATAGCAGAAAGTAAATTAATTTACATATTTAAATATTACTGTAGTTTTAATCATGTTTAATATAACTAATATTTTTGTTCGTATAATATTAGCAACGGTTTGTCAGACATATAAAAATGTTGAAAAGAATACGATTGAAGCCATTTACAAATTTCCACTTCATGAAGCTGCAGCAGTATGTGCATTTGAAGCTGAAATTGATGGAAAGAAAAAAGTTAAAGGAAT